GCAGCACAGGCCAGTGCAGTTCCAGTGAACAGGGCAGTGACACACAGCAAGGACCGGTGACACTGAACTGCATTGGCTCACAGAGCGGGCTGCACGCCCAAGCGAGCCCAGCCCAGCACAAGCTCACAGGCTCCTCTGCCGAGCACGGCCTCACACTAAGGCATGTGGCCTGCTCCCAGGTCACACTGCATCCATAAAACATAGCTACAAGGACCCAGTCTATGGGGATGCCAGAATGACCGAGCTCACACATCAACGCTTTGGTAGTGTCTGACACATGGCTAAGCAAACTCAGCAGTCAACATGATCACAAACATTCTGGAATTTTCATGAATGTTCAAACTTAAAAGGCATGTGCACATTTCAAAGCCAACCACATATCCTCACTTTTGATTGACTGGTATACTCAGGGCAGTTAACTTTACACAAAAGTTCAGATGATCTTAGAGGAGGCCTATGTGTGATGCCTTTGAAGTTTTACAACGCTTTTAGAATGACCAACTAAAGAATTCAAAAAACTAATATTTGCTTCTTCAAAGGTCCGAGAATTTATTTTCACAAGACACATGCAATATTTATGCTGTTTTGCTTACACCACCAGAATCAATAAACCATTAGAAAGACACACCACCAAGGCCAGGCAGGCATCAGGCTTCCAACAGGAACGGGTTATTATCCAGCCATCTGAGAGGATGGAATGAAGTCCAGAGCTTACTCAATATCCTTGAGCCCATCCTTGGCTCAAGTCTCAGAACAAGCTCTCCTTTGAAAAGCCTGGGTGAGCACCAAGTGTGCTGATGCTCCCAGCAGCGGCCAGGCAGATGTGTCCTCATGGTCCCTGGGGATGCCTGAAAACAGCACACACGTATGCAGACAAGGCAGTCACACTGGGTCACAAGAAGGCAAGGCGGGAGCGAGGCAGGAGCTGGAGCCACGCGATCCCAGCACGCAGCAGCCGACAAGTCAACGTGTAGGCTTCAACAAGAGACCTTGAAGTGCCAAGAGTGATCCTGCCAAAAAGCGCCAGTAAGCAAGAGATGGTCACACTGCGACAAAAATGATTTTTCAAAGGTAACATTGTGCAGATTATCGGAAACCCCTATCGGCCAAGGGCCAGACATTTAAGGCCAAGGCTGAGACATGGCTATGGGACCGAGACACGGGTATGGGACCGAGACACGGCCATGGGGCAAGACACGGCTATGGGACTACAATAGACATGGCTCTGAGTGTAACTGCTTTCCTTTTCTTTTTTTGAATGACATTGCTTTGAAGAAGCAAACCCTGTGATAATAGTCAACCAACTGTAAATCGTGATTATCACAGACAACTGGTGGGGACGACTTCTCTTATTAACATATTCATTTTTCACTTATCTGTCCTATATGGTCTAAATTACAAGTTTTTTTTTAAACAAAATGGGTGAGAGCAGTCATTCAGTTGTTGATCAGGAACAATCAGGATACTACCTGCAAACACATCGAGCTCCCTTACAGGACTTACCACTCCCGCGGATGAAGCCCCATCTCACTGGTCCACAGAACCCCGGGGTCTGGTATAATGCTGAAAATCCAAGCTCTGGTTGCTAAGACACACTGAGCAAATGGACTCTGGTTGCGGCCAACCTGCAAGCAAGGTGATTCTGCCATTTCCTCAGGGTGGCTCTCCTGTAGGGATGTGACCAGGCCTTCGCCCTGTGGTCCCCTCCCTCTTTAACTTGGCCCCCTGGTTGGGTATTTCTGTCATCCTGGAAGATACGCTAGTTCCAAGGAAGCCTAACGGTTAGCGCTGCCTCTTCCATTCCACTCCCCGCCGACCAGCTGTACACACACGCAGCCCCTCCTGTGAGTGGTGCACTAAGCCCAGGACAAGATTACGGCAGGGTGAAGTGTACCCTAAGCCATCATGCTACCGATGTTAACTTTCTGAGCCTTGCGTTTAGAGCTATGCCTGTGCAACAGCACACTCAGTGGGCTGAGCCTCCCCGGGTTGGTGGAAGGCCTACGAGAACTCATGCACCGTGCAGGCTCACAACCAAACCAACGCAAACAAAAGTCCCTAGTCTGACTACGTAGTGTAAATTACTAAACAAGCAAACTGATCAAAAAAAAAAAACAGATTTATCTTATTCGTTTGAAAGACAAAGTTAGGGAGAGACAGAAATAGAAAGATTTTCCGAGACTGCTGGTTCATTCTGCAAAGAGCTGCAACAGCTAGAGCTGGGCTGGAACTCCAGCCTGGTCTGCTCTGTGGGCGCAGGGGCCTAAGCACTTGGGCTGTCCTCTGCAACTTTCCCAGGCACCTTTGCAGGGAGTTGGACAGGAAGCAGAACAACTGGGCCTTGAAGTGGCACCCATGTGGGATGTCAGTATGGCAAAAAGCAGCCTAACCTGTTACACTACAAAGCAGGTACCAACATTTCTTTTACTTTTTTTTTTTTTAAGATTTATTTATTTGAAAGGCAGAGTTACAGAGAGAGGGGTGACAGACATCTTCCATTCACTGATTCACTCCCCAAATGGTTACGACAGCCAGGGCTGTTGCAATGCCAGAGCTTCATCCGGGTCTCCCTCATGGGTGCAGGAACCTAAGCATTTTGGTCATCCTCCCCTGTGTGCCCAGGCCACAAGCAGGGGGCTGATTGGAAGTGGAGCAGTCCGGTCTTGAACTTGTGTACATATGGGAAAAGAGCGCTGCAGGTGGTGGCTTTACGCACTACGCCACAATGCAGATCCCAAGAAAGTGATTTCTCTGAGTCTGTTCTGTGTTTGGGTTTCACTGATAACTTAGTGTGAAGTCAGTTTCCCGCAACAGCAGTCATCTGTGCTGTTGGGCTTGCTCAGGAGGAACGGAGCAGTGGGCGTGTGGCTCAGTGGGTTAGGACAGTGCCTGCATTGCCTGTGCTAGCACTGGAGCACAGCTCGATGCTTCCTGGGAAGGAGTGGGCGCCTGCCACGCGTGCGGGAACCCGGGATGGAGCTGTAGGGTCCTGCTGTTGGCTGGACCCAACACGGAAGCGTGAACCAGAGCATAGAAGCACACACTCTCGCTCTCTCTCTCTCTCTCTCTCCCCTGGCTTCGTTCTGTCTGCCTTTCAAATTACACAACAAACATGGTTCCCAGAAAAGAGCCCTCTACGGCTAACAGGAGATTCCCTAAGCTACACCCAAGTACGTATGAATACTCAAGCAAGCATGTTCCCAGTCCCAGCACACACACGTGCGCACACACATGCCTACCGCTACCCTCCAACGGTAACACAGGCAGCCCTACTGCCCGAGAGTTGCACCCTTCCCGGACATTCTTAAATGTATCCTGTTGAGCGACTCCACTTTGGGGGTCACCGGGGTCCAGATCTACATCTGGACCTCACTTTAAATGCCAATTCCTCAACCAGCCACACCCGACATAGCCCTGCCATACCTTAGCCCCTGGCAGAGCCAGTCTCAAGGGGCTTCCTTCGTGCCCAGCGGGCCACAGACACCCGAGTACACGCCCTGTCCTGGGGATGGAACGCGAGACCGCCACTGTGTGAGCGGGAAGGACAGCTGGACAAACACGAAGGTGCTCGGCCAAAATTCAGGAAGAGCAGGGCAAAAATGGGTCACCACTGCAAGTTACTCCCAAATCTAACGCATAGAGACTCAGTTTCCGCCTCTGAGAAGCCTAAATCCCGGGCCAGGCATCGTCTACCTTTTCCCAACTGTCCCTTCGTTACAAACTCCACTGAAGGTCCCACAGACTGAACTGAAATGTCAAACCCCTTTCCAAGCACTCTCGCTTCTCCCCACGCACTTGGAGAGTCCCCACGAGCCAGGGCCACGGCGTGCTAAGGAAGCTGCTTTGAGGACGTCCCTGTGCAGCCCTGCACGACCCAGCCTGCAGAGTTCCCGGAACGCCCTTGCCCGGAGCCTGCCCGGAGCCGGAGCCCCCAAAGGCGCCGGCCTTCACCCCACCCAGCAGGCAGCACACTTCCCGTTCGCTCTGCTCCAGAACTCGAGTTTGACAGTCACACACACACATACACACACACCCTGAGTAAGGAGGAAGTGGCGCAGGATCATGGCAAAGCCCTGCTTGTCCCCCCTCTCCACTGGTTTTTTCTTGTTTGTTTTAAGGGGATGCATGGTCCCCTTGCCCCTCCCTGGACAGTCTCAAGGAGACTTGGCCATTGCACCCCTGGGAACCAGGAGAGGATGACAACATCGCAAACTCCCAGCTCGACTTTTCTCATGACTTTTTTTTTTCTTTTTAATGCTTTCGGTGCCCTTGCTATGAAGAGCAATCGCTGCCCTGGAGTTGAGAACTGCGGTCCTGGTGGGTCAGTGTGCCCGGCCCAGGGGCGCAGGACGCGCACTGGGCACCCCAGTGGGCACCGAGGCTGCGCCCGCCCGCCCGCCTTACCTGGTTTGACCGGTTTGGGCGGCGGCTTCGACATCTCGCTTCCTGGGAGCGGGCGAACCCTTCAGACCCCCTCCAGCAATTTTTTTAAAAAGCCAAAAATCTGAATCGGCCCGTCAAGCCGGCACTCCAGGGCACCGCCTTTGCCCCCCTTAAAAAAAAGTTGTGGTTTTTTTTTTTTTTTTAATGTCTGCTTTCTCAGCCCGAGCGCGCCTGCCAGGACGTGCGCCCTTAGCCTTGTTGGCAGCGCGAGGAGCGGACGCCGTTCGTTCGGGGCGGCTCGGGCCCAGCGCGCCGCCCGGCCTCGCCCCGCTCCGCCCCGCTCCGCCCCGCGGCCTGCCCGCCCTGCCCGCCTCGCCCGCCTCGCTCGCCCGCCCGGCCGACCAGGAAGTGGCCGCCGCCTCGCCGAGCGCTCATTGGCTGCGGGTGCGGCGGCGCTGCGCGCAGGGGCCGCTCGGGGGCGCTGCAGCACGGCGCGGCGGCGCTCTGGCCGCTCGCTCTCGCTCTCTCTCCTCTGTCGCGCGCGCGCGCCAAAGGCCACGCTCCGCGGAGCCCCGCCCCGAGCCGGAACACGTCCGGCCCGCGTGGGACAGAACCTTCGGCGGTCGCCCCTTACCTCAGCGGGCCGCGGGAGCGACGCGGAAGCCCCTCTGGCCCGTCGCCTGGAGCCCCGGACAGCCCCGGCTGGTGAGTATCGGGCCCTCGGCCGCTGCGGCGTGCGGCGCCGCCTCGCTGGGCCTAGAGGAAAAAAAAAAACGGCTCGAGCCGGAAGCCGGGCTGGCCTGAAAGAAGCCCTGTTGGAACTTTGGCCGCCCGAAAACGGGCCGATCCCCGGGCCGCCCTGGGCCGACGGCTCCCGCGGGCGACGCGGGGCCTCTGGGTGCCCCCCTCAGCCGGGATGCGGGGTCTCGCCGCCGGGGAGCGCCTCGCCGCGGCGTGCGGGGTGCGGGGGGGGAAAGTCACAGGATCCGGCCTCGATCCTCGCGGGAACGACGCCGCTTCCTCCTCGGTCCGAGTCCGCGGGGCCCAAAGGCGTCCCCATGTTGTGGCCCACCTGCCTGCTTCTGTGCGGGCGTTTCTGGGTTTGTTTTTTTTTTAATTATTTTTATTTTTTATTGTTATTGGAAAGTCAGATATACAAAGAGGAGGATCCGAAGGTTGGTTTCGCTCCCCCAGGCGGCCTCAACGGCCGATCCGAGCGAGGCCAGGAGCCAGGATCCTCCCTAGGGCCCCCCACGCGGGTGCGGGGGTCCCCGAGGCTTTGGGTCCGTCCGCCGCCCTCCCAGGCCACGGGCAGGGGGCTGCATGGGAAGCGGGGCCGCCGGGGTTAGAACCGGCGCCCATATGGGATCCCGGCGCGTGCTAGGCGAGGACTTGAGCCGCCAGGCTGCCGCGCCGGGCCCTCTCTCTTTCTCTACGGCCTTTTTTTTTTTTTTTTTTTTTAAAGACTCCCCTCGCTTAAACCCAAAGAACGAGTTGAGGGCATGTGAAAATGATAGGAGGTCAGATTCCCGAAGGCCGTGGTGGTGGCTTGGCGTGTGGAATGTCTATGGTCACTTTGTTCACCAAGGACCACGGAGCTGAGTGGCCGCCTAAAGCGTTCATTATCTGCCACTTTAAAAAGGAAAAATAAATAAATAAAAAGATAGCCTCCGGGCCAGCAGCTCAGGCACAAATTCACTGTGGCCTGGTCACCCCTCTACACTGCTTTGTATATCTGGGGAAAGAAAAACTATTTCGTACGGGCCTATATCAGTAAAGCTGTAAAGTCTCTAGGAGGTGGAGTTTTAGAGAGAGAGAGAGACTATCGGGAGAAGCACAAGCATTTTGTTTTCAGGAACCCCAGCCTGAGTCCGTTTTTAGTGTTCCCCAAAAGGGAAAGTGGGGGAAGGCTGCTGTGTCTCATGGAAGATAAGAGAGATGTTGGCTGTAACCAGGAAAACACTTCTCCTTTCTCTCTTTTCAAAATATTTATGTCTTTCTATTGGAAAGACAGATTTACAGAAAGGAGAGACAAAGGGAAAGATCTTCCATCTGCTGGTTCACTCCCCACATGGCTGCAGGGGCTGGAGCCGGGCCATCCAAAGGTTGGAGACTTCCGGGACTCCAGCGCAGGTGCAGGGTCCCAAGGCCTTGGGCCGTCCTCCACTGCTTTCCCAGGCCACAGGCAGGAGCTGGATGGGAAGTGGGGCAGCTGGGATTAGAACCGGCGCCCATGTGGACCGTCAGCACTTGGAGGGAAGGCGCTGTGCCCATACATCCCGCGTTATTAAAGAAGACTGAGCGGGGGACAGGTGCTGGACCTCAGAGTTGCATTCGTTGAGAGGCCTCCTCCTGGAGGCTGGGTTCGCGTGCCCGCTGCCTAAGCCTGGGAGGAGCCAGGGACGGCTCGGGCAGCGCTCCTGCCACCCTAGGCCCAGCAGGCAGAGCCAGTGAGTGCGAGTTCTGTGTGCATCTCTTTGTCGCTCAGACGGTTTGAAGAGGGCGAATATTTGACGCGGAAGGCACGGTGCCACCTGGTTCACCTGGATTCTGCATAGGAGTGCCTAGTTCCAGTCCCACTTTCTCCACTTCCCACCCAGCTTCCTGGCCACGGGAACCCTGGGAAGCACTTTGCCACCCACGGGAAAGACCCGGATTGTGTGGGACGTGGCCTGATCTGATCCTGGCTCCTGCAGACCTGGGAGAGTGACTCAGCACATGAAAGACCTCTCTCAAATGCGATGAAATAAAGAAATATATGTGTCTATGGCTGATGCGGTGCTTACTCTGGCGGTCTCCTGCGGAGGAGAGCTTTGTGTGCCCCAGGTAAAGAGCGCAGGAGAGGGAGCACCTGCCCTGCCAACAGTCCTGGGCTGCTGGAGGCCACAAAGTGCAGGTGGTCCGCATCCCAGAGGATGGCAAGTGATTTACAGTTTGTCATTAGACTCGGGTTTGCTTCATGAAGTCTGGCACCATAATTTGAACCTGAAAATTATTTTTTTTTAAAAAAAGAGTATTTATTTATTTGAAAGAACTAAAGAGAGAAAGGAAGAAACAGATCATTCACCCTCTGGTTCACTCCCCAGAGGGCCACACAGGCAGCGCTGGGCTAGACCAAGGCCAGAGGCCTGCAGCTTCATCCGGGTCTCCCAGGCCAGGCCCCGGGCACGTAGGCCGTCTTCTGTTGCTTAGCCCAGGCCACTGGTGGGGAGCGAGATCAGAGCATGGACCAGTGCCCGTGTGGGCTGCTGGGGAGATGGGCAGCAGCTTTGAGCTCTGTGCCACAGCACCGGCTCCCCACGACTCTTGATTGCTGTGTTTACTGTTCTTTCCTCTTTTGGTGCCAAAGAAAGAAAGAGCTGCCATCCACAGGTTCATTCCCAGCTTAGAAGTGAAAGCTAGGCACTCAACCCACGTCTCCCTGTGGATGGCAGGAACCCACGTGATTGAGCCAGCACCACTCCCTCTGGGATGTGTCGTCTTCACAGCCAGCCTAAACGCTCACTCCTGGTTGCCCTATTTCTTAAGATTTTGTGTTGTTGTTGTTTTTTCCTAAAGAAGGACAGAGGTAGGGCCCAGCATGGTAACCTAGCGGTTAAAGTCCTCACCTTGCACACTCGGGATTCCATGTGTGGGTGATGGTTCGTATCCCAGCTGCTCCACTTCTCATCCAGCTCCCTACTTGCGGCCTGGGAAAGCAGGGGGGAAACAGGCAGTGGAGTAATAGGCAGAGAAGGGAAGTACAGCCTGAGGTTGGAGCTCCCTTAAAGTGCTCTGGAGCTAGCGTTGATATTAAACTTAGCTGTTTAAGGGCTTGTTGGTCATTCACCGTAGCCCTGTGGCCTGTGGCACACGTCCCAGTTCCCACTGATCTCCTGCCGTGTCTCCCGCTAACGGCAGACGCCCAGCGTACCTCTGCATGTCTTCAAAGTCCGGGCTCCAACCAGTTCAGAGCCAGGCGTTCTTGTTTTGGCAGGAACTTGAATTTGACTGTGGGACTTCTCTCCTGAGCCCCGGAATAACTCCCTCAAGCCCGTTGGCACTGTGTAATTTGCAGATTAGTCTCATGTCTGCAGAGATGTGACAGCACAGGCCGCCGGGACCCCTTTGCATCCAGTGTGCATGCGGATTTATGGCGTATCAATACACGCAATAATGATATCAGTTCTGTACCGGAGCCTGGTCACACGTGTGTGGGAGCCTGTGCGCTCAGTGATAAAGTGCCTTGTAGTGTGGAATGAGTTCCCGGGATTGGATTAGCTCTGCTTCTGGCTCTCCCACTTACTAGCCATGCATTGTCTGGGCCGATTTCCACTTCCACAGTTAAAGTAGCTTATGTACCAAGTGGTCCAGGTACTCCAAGCTTGAGAATGCTCTGGCAGGAGAACATAATTTCACAAGAAGTAGATCATTTACTACCAAAACGATAAGAAGGCTTACCCTGTATAAAGGGCAGCCTTCCTTCCCCACAGAAGGTGCAGTTGGCAGGCTTAACGTTGCTAAACAAAAGGCTGGAGTGAAATGAAAGAGTGGAACGAAGACAGCATCTAGTGCTCATTGCATGCAGTTGCTCCTTTGGTGCCCGCTGGCAGCTTGGTCCTACACACGTGTGAGGATTTCAGAAGGCTCATGGGGAAATGGGATTAAAAAAGAAATTTATTCTGTTGCCCAAAAAGGCTGTATTCACATAATAAACATTTTTTTAAACATTTACTTATTTATTTTTATTAGAAAGGCAGATATATAGAGAAAACAATCTTCCTTATGCTGGTTAACTCCCCAAGTGGCCACAACGGCTGGCACTAAGCCCACAAGAAGCCAGGAGCCTGGAGCTTCTTCCAGTTCTCCCATACACGCAGATGCAGAGTCCCAAGGCTCTGGGGCTTCCTCAACTGCTTTCCCAGGCCACAAACAGGGCTGGATGGGAACTGGAGCAGCCAGGACACAAATAAGCTCCCATATGGGATCCTGGCATGTGCAAGGCGAGGACTTTAGCCTCTAGGCTACTGTGCCAGGGGTTTTTTGATTGGTTTGTTTGTTTTGTTTTGTTTTTTTTTGTATTCAACAATTTTACTCCCAGTGAAATGTCCATTTCATTTTTATGTCAGTCATTGAATTCTTATCACTTGGGCTTGCTAATGAAAGTGCAACCCAGCCTTTAGCAATTGCATTGTCTGGAATGTTCTGGATAAGTCTAGAAGAGGAGGATCAACAGTATTGTTCTCCAGGCTCTTCACCTGTTGCTGGCCAGGGGAACTGGGAGCTCCGGTGCGAGCCTTCAGCTTCTTGCCACTCCTCTGGACTTCACAATTTAGGTTCCTGCCTAGCCAACCTAAACACACCTCTAGGCATCTTGACCACAGCCTTTGCTTTGCTTTCTTTTTAATTAATTAAATAATTATTACCCCAAAAAAGGATATTTTTTTTTTTTACTAAAGAAAAAGTTGTAAAATTGTATTGTTTCTTAAGTCCTGTATAATATCTAGCTTGGCCTCAGATATTCGCTCTCTGGCCTGTTTCCCAAAAAGCTCGCCTAGTCAAGGTCCGGGACATGGTGCCGTTGAAGGTACAAGTTTCTGCTTGCCGCTGGCCTGCAGTGTCTGTCTCCCTCTTTCCCAAGAGGACAGAGAAAGGTCGCCTGGAGGGTCTGGCAAGAGGATTCCATCTGCAGGTGGCAAGCACACTGGCCCGGGGCAGGGCGACTCCAGAAGCCGCACTCTGAGCCTGCCGCTCTCGCGCCCTTTGAAGCAGAGCCACTGTGTACTCGGCCATGGGGGCCCACTTCAGTTCACTCAACATTACTCTCCAGGCCCTGGGCTCGCACCAGCTCCTGTCACCTACAAGTTGACTGACAGCAGGGAACCCATAGAGCAGAAAAATGCAGGGCCGAGTTCCTGGGAGATCACGGTCGCTGTAGGCTCGGCAGGTGGTTCTCCGTTCAGCACTCGTTCTTTAACCTCTGAAGACATCTCAGTGACAGCCTTTGATTTCTTGTTTGATTTTAGGACGTGTTAGGAAGACGTGCTGTTGAAAGCTAACTATGAAAACATTTGTCATTGGAATTGGTGGGTGAGTACTTTTGGTCCCAACAGCTAGTGAAGTAACTCGGGATTTCCAAAGTGTGTTTTCCTGTGGAGCTCCTGGAGGAAGGAGAGCCCCAGGCATTCCTCGTCCTGCTGGGTGGGTGGCCTGCAGCGCTGGCCTCAGAACTGAACTGCCACTCATTTGGCTGAGTATCCACAAGGAAGTGGAAGAGCCAGCCCGTGCAGTTGGCTGCTTTCCATTTATTTTCTGGAGCAAGCAGGAGGCAAAGCAAGTAACAAATACAGCTGTGATTTCAGGGTGATGTCGTGTTCCTCGCTGGTGCTCTGTCAGTAGAACAGGGGAAAACATATATTTCTTGTTAGATTCAATTCATCTCCGCCCAGGTGGAGTGTGGGTCGGTGTCACGTCCCTTCCTTCCTCATACGTGGGGTGACCTTATGTCCTGTGTTTCCCTAGCTTCAGCTTGTTGCATACTCTTTGTTTAGACAGTCACCTTCCCCGGGTACCAGGTCAGGCCTCCCCAGCAGCTGAAAGGTGTGATTTGTCCTGCCACCTGCTTTCTCCCGAGACATGCATACTCTGGCCCATTCAGTAAAAGTTTGCGTTTTGAGGGAGGTCATGGTATTATTCTGTTGCGTTGCCAATTGGCGTGAGCTTACCTGATGACATCTCACCTCTCCAGTTAGTGTGCATCTAATCAGGAGCAAAGTTCATTTTTTCTATCTTCTCTTTTGTCTTTCCTTCCACACTCATTGCTGCCCCCCTAATTTGGGCCATTATCTGATTTTTAATATTGTTGACAATAGCTGAGGGGCGCATGCCCCTGTGGGCCTCTGACTGGGTGGAGAGAGATGGGTAGCACGTATGTTTCAGTCTTTCTTTTTCTTCCTGTGTCCACGGAGGAGGAGGGGAAGGGGGCCACTTCTTGCTGTCAAACCACATCGGTACCCAAGGATGGGGATGGTCCTTTGGTGACGCCTCCGGACCCCCCCACACACACACATGTGGTGGAAAGAGTGTTCTGAAGGTGTTACTGGAGGGCTTCAGTAATCCTGAAACAGTCCGTTTCATTGCTCCGGGGTGAGATCTTTCTGATGTTGACAGAGTCTGCCTTAAGTGCATCCACAGACCCAGGAACATGCTGCACAGCTTGGCCAGGACAGCTGTCTGACCTGTTCTGCTCTCCGTCTCTGATGAGGCGGCCTAGATGAGCTGGCCATCGTGTCCCCCACGTGCATCTGGACATACTGTCCACTGCAGAGGTGTGGTAGCTGAGGAGGCCCAGTCCTGATGTGGACTCCAAGGTCGGACTGACCTCTTGTGACGCTCCCTGTGGCCAGGATCTGATAGAGTTCCCCAAGAAAGCTCACCTGGGCTGATGTCAGACCTGACACTGGGCGTGCCAGCAGTGCAGGGTCAGGTGTGCGCTCTCACCTAGACCAGCTAAAACACACCTGTGGATGCTGCTGCCTGGGCACTTCCACCCCAGCCACGTATCTCACACAGACCAGCGCACGCTGCAGCCTAGTCCAGCCAGCTTGCCACTCAGTCCTCACACGTACCAGCAGGTGCCTCCAGTAACCCCACCAGCCCTACTCTCAGCCCTGCCCCAGCTCCAGTTTGTGTGCATTTCAGCCTCTGCTCGGCCTAGCCCGGCCCAGCCTATGTCCCATCTGGCTCCCGTGCACACCTACAGAAACTTACTTGGTCCAATCCAACCTGCCCCAGATCCAGGGCTCACCAGTGGTAGGTGCAGTCTAACAGGGGAGTGCCCACAGTTGCCCTGCTTGGCATGTTCCCAGACCTGGCTCTTGGCCTGTCGGGGGGTACTGCAGTCCAGCCTGACATGACTGAGACCCAGTCCACTGCCAACTGATGTTGTGGCCTACTAGCTCCTGTGCATGCTAGTGGGTGCAGTAGCCTAGCCCAGACTGCCCCACCAGCATTTGCAGCCAGCATAATCACTAGTAGAGGCAGCAGCTCAGCAAGGAAACCCCCAAAGTTCCCCTGCCAGGCTGGCTCGCAACCCAGGGTTTTGCATGTGCCAGCAGGGGCTGTGGCCCAGTCTGAAGTGGCCTGCCCGCAGTCTCAGCAGTCACCAGCAGGTGGCACAGCCTGGCTTAGCCTGACGCACTCACAGCTCTCATGTGAAATGGCTGGTGTTGCAGTCCAACCTAATTTGGGCAGGTTTGAGAAGATACAACTTTGAACTTAGTTTCCCCATCTAAATACGAGGAACATTATTTTCTACCTGTTTCAGAATGGCCTCTGCACTTGAATTTCTGTCTTTTTATTGGAAAATCAGATACAGTCAGATATATACAGTGGGGGAGAGATAGAGAGGAAGATCTTCCGTCCATCCGATGATTCACTCCCCAAGTGGCCACATCAGCCAGAGCTGAGCCAATCTGAAGCTAGGATCCAGGAACCTCCTCCAGGTCTCCCACGCAGATGCAGGGTCCCAAGGCTTTGGGCCGCCCTCGACTGCTTTCCCAGGCCACAGCAGGGAGCTGGATAGAAAGTGGGGCTACCAGGACTAGGACCAAGCACCCATATGGTATCCTGACACATGCAAGGCGAGGATTTAGCCACTAGACTACCATGCCAGGCCCTCCACAAAGTACTTTTAAGAATCATTTATTTCTATCTTGTTTGGAAGGCAGAAAGGAATAGACCTTTCAGCTGCCGGCTTGCTCCTCGAGAGTGAGCAGTGTGCGGCCACGCACCAGGAGCCCAGGCTGAGTCTCCCGCCTTGCGATGCCGTGCTCCGCTTGCTGGGCTGTGCATGCTGCCTCCTGGGATGCATGAGCAAGAAGGTAGAGCACAGGCGTAGTAACCAGGTCCAGAGCAGGTGCTCAGCTGTGACTGGCCGTCCCGAGCAGTCATTCCACTGCTGCCCCTAACACCCACTAGGTCCACAGACTTTCTGAAGTACTCATATGCATTTTTGTTAGATAATAAAAATATTCAATGAATATGAAATATTCACAATATTTACAAATATGAAATAATAATGAACATCAAGAATGCTTCAAAATATCTTCCCAGTTGAGAGCTCGTGTGGAGACGGTGCGGAGCGCTTCATCTGTGGCAGCTCGGAAGCCTGCGTCCGGGGAGACTGCGGTAGAACCTTCTGCAGAAGGGGCCGAGAGCTTGACAGCTTCAACGGAGGGCCAGCAAGCGGCGACAGCAGCCAGCGTCATGAGCGACAGCGGCGAGCAGAACTACGGCGAGCAGGAATCCCGCTCTGCTTCCCGAAGCGGAAGCGCTCACAGATCGGGGAATTCCGCAAGGCATAGCCCTGCAAGGTCTCACTCCAAGGAAGATTCCAGGCGTTCCAGATCCAAGTCCAGGTCCAGATCCGAATCTAGGTCTAGATCCAGAAGAAGCTCGCGCAAGCGTTACACGAGGTCGCGGTCCCGGTCCCGGTCCCATAGACGCTCCCGTAGCAGGTCGTACAGTCGCGATTATCGCAGACGGCATAGCCACAGCCATTCTCCCATGTCCACTCGTAGGCGCCACGTTGGGAACCAGGCAAACCCTGACCCCAACCGCTGTCTTGGAGTATTTGGTTTGAGCTTGTACACCACAGAGAGAGATCTCAGAGAAGTTTTTTCTAAGTACGGGCCCATTGCCGACGTGGCTGTCGTGTATGACCAGCAGTCTAGGCGCTCCCGAGGATTTGCCTTTGTTTATTTTGAGAGCGTAGATGATGCCAAGGAAGCTAAGGAGCGCACCAATGGGATGGAGCTGGATGGGCGCAGGATCAGAGTTGATTTCTCTATAACAAAAAGACCACATACTCCAACACCAGGAATTTACATGGGGAGGCCCACGTATGGCAGTTCACGCCGTCGGGATTATTACGACAGAGGGTATGACCGAGGCTATGACGACCGAGACTACTATAGCAGGCCGTATAGAGGGGGTGGCTGGAGAGCCGCCCAGGAGAGAGAGGAGATCTATAGAAGACGCTCGCCTTCGCCCTACTATAGTCGCGGCGGATACAGATCGCGCTCCAGGTCGCGCTCCTACTCCCCTCGCCGCTACTGACGGGTGCCGGCGAACGTTCTGGAAGCGCCCTGGCGCTGGGCTCTGGTTTGTGGACGATCCTTTTTCATTGTCTCCTGTTTGAAAAGTGGACGGTGCCTAGTGGACTTAGGTGACTGTCACGCCTTTTATGATTGGTGACCACTTGTGGTGGAGTTGAAATGCTGTTTTCATTCTGCATTTGTGTAGTTCGGTGCTTTGTTCAAAGTTAAGTGTTTCCAGAGAAGTATGTTTTGCATGTATTTTTTTACAGTCTTCAATTTTGACTGCTGAGAAGTTTCTATTGTACAAAGCTTCATTTAAAAGGTTTTTCTACTCAATCCAGGGTATTCTGAAGATCGAAGCCTGTGTGTAAAATGCTACCAAATGGCAAAAAAAACAACAATAAAGTTTGGTTTTTACTTTTCTTTCTCACATATCAGTGCTTAGCAGAAAGTTCAGATTAAGTGGTCAGTAGTAAATTAAACGAAAAATTCCCACTTAACCAGTCCATCAAACATCCATACCTGTGATACTTACAACTAAGTGCTAAAAATTATGCTCTGTAACTCTGTACTGTTAGTGTTTGAACTGCACCGCTTCCCGCTGCTCTAGTCGTGGGTGTGCGGCTGTGTGCAGCCTGCATCACACAGCAGGCAGGAAGAAGAGTTACACGTGCGAGCCTGTAAAAGGCTCCTTAAAGCTCTGACAAGGGGACTCGTGCTATTTCAACTCGTTCTCAGCAAGTGGCAGTACATCTCCACCACCAGTGTGCTCTCGTCTTTGCTTGTAGACCATGTGAAAAACGGGGTGCTTCCAAGTGGGAGAGAAGGGCACACTGCACCTGTGTCATGTTCAGACCTTGCCTGTTCATTTGTAAAATATTATTTTCAGATCCTTTGTTTACCACAGGAGACCCAATTTCACTCAGATGTTCTGAGGACTGTGTTTAAATAAACGCAATTGAAAATAGAAAAAAAAAAATCTTCCCCAATGCCATTTCTGTTAGAGACAAAATCATTAGCTCTCTCAGACTGCGATAGTGTATCCCTGCAGTCACAGGGGCTGCCAAGTCCGCGGGATTTAGGCAGAACAAGGAGGCAGTTTCCTTGCCAAGTGCACAGAGGTGTGCATCCTGTCCACAGCTTTGGAGGTACTTAAGCCGTCTCTAAATAAGATGAAATTGAGACTTGTCCCATGTGTGTGCCCCGTGCTAGATGCTGGGATGGTCAGGCGCTTCCTTCTCCTTGTCACTTATGTGACAGAGTGTGCAGCAAGGAACAATTCGCTGACCAGTATGGCTCCGTTCAGGGACGCCCACACCCCACAGAGAACACCGAATACCGAGTGGACAAGCCTGCATTACTCTGCACTTCGCTTTGCCCACTGCACTGAAACAAAATTAGGAGCTAGGCAGCTGTATTCATGTATGCTTCCACGAGAGGGCGCCACTCATCCTGTCCCGTGTAAACCTGTGCATGTTCTGCCTTAGAAAACGAATTGTTTGCTCCAGCAGAGTAGCTGTAGTTCTAAGCTGTAGCATTCCTTAGTTGACATTCCCGTAGTCATTAGTAGCCCTTCCGCACCAGTTAACGTCTCTCCAGGACCCGTGGTTTTGCCAACAGAAAAAGCAACATCAATGAAAGAGGTCCATTCTTCCTAAATATAAACATTACTTTTCAACTCTGTCATTTCAAGATGTTGTCTGTGTTCTCAATGCATTTTCCTTCTCGGAACTTTGTGTTTTTCCTTTGGTTCAGCGTGACCAATGGTGGGAAGACAACACTGGCTAAGAAACTGCAGGAACACCTGCCACACTGCAGTGTCATATCCCAAGATGACTTCTTCAAGGTATCTGTAACACCTCTGGGATGGTTTATTTCCCATAAAAATGTGCAGTAACAAAGTGAATTGCATTATATCCAAAACATTTCTTCGAGTGATGTACCTTTGTGACGTAGGTAGGCTTGGTGCTATGGTGCCACTCTGCCACTAGGTGGCACCATATATCAATGCAGATCTTTAAGTTTGTCATCATCCAAAGCATTTATTAAAGGTTTATTTCCTCTTTATTCTACAAATGTATTCTTTTTCTGCCCTACAACATTACATTTTTTGATTTGCACTTTGTTATTTTTTCAGCCAGAATCTGAGATAGAAATAGATAAAAATGGATTTTTGCAGTATGATGGTAAGTAGACTCTAAACATTACATGCTTGAGTTCATTTTATTCTTCAAATCCAAAGAACTTCACTGTCTATGGAGGTACTCTACAGTGTGTTCAAATATCCAGCTTCACTTTTAAAGATTTATTTATTTTTGAAAGGAAGATTTACAGAGATAAAGATCTTCCGTCTGCTGGTTCACACCAACTGGCTACAAGGGCCGGAGCTGAGCCAATCCAAAGCCAGGAGCCAGAAACTTCCTCCAGGTCTCCCGCGCAGGTGCAGGGTCCCAAGGCCTTGGGCCGTCCTCGACTGCTTTCCCAGGCCACAAGCAGTTAGCTGGATGGGAAGTGGGGCAGCTCGGACACAAACAGCTTGCCCATGTGGCATATGCAAGCAAGGATTTAGCCACTAGGCTATCGTGCCAGGCCCTGAATATCCAGCTGTACTTTAAACCTGCTTTTCAGATGTGTAGAATGTGTTGAACTATATAAATAAGTTAATTCCTCCAGTTTTATGCTTACAACTGCCGACACTGAAATGATGGGCTTTTGTCCTACAGTCGAAGCATTCTCTTTCTCTGCTGCTTCCTTCCTTCCTGCTAGGCAAGATGTGGGGCAAGCATTTTCTCTCACTTCCCACTGCTTAGTCAGGTGTGTGGGTACTTTTGCGTGGAGGCCTCTCTGTGTGAGTCTGTCGGGAGGTTACTTCCCTGGAGGGAATGTCCTGCTAGTGGACTATAGTGTCAGCTGATCAGCCTGGCAGCAGAGGGCGCTCTTCTAAAACATTCTGAAATAGGATCTCTTTAAAATAGTCACAAAATGCTTGACTTGCTGTGCTCCTGGGCCATGAGTTACAACTTTTCCAAAGGTTAGTAAGAGATTATCACAAAGAAGAATCAAACGGGGAAGAACTTTTCTTGACAATGGGCAAAAATATAATCCCTCCTCATTGTGCCATCTGTGATGAGAAAGCCTGCTACCTCGGTTGTTGAAAACAAAAACGGCCTAAGGACATGAGCAAGCAGTCCCCAGGTAGACTATAAGTGCACAGTGAAAGGTCAGCCTCAAGATGAGTCCAGGAGTTGTAAATCATTTTTTCCTCCAGTTACCAACTAACTAATGATATTTAAAGTAATATGAATTATCTCAGGACATCTCGGACTCAGTAAAACGAGCTTTCTTGCAAACTTCACATAGAAGTATAAATGGATCCAGTCGTTCTCAGAAGGAGAGCGAGTGTGCGGCCTGAAGGCTATTTGGATTTTATTTTTACAGATTGTATTGATTTGTTTGAGAGGTAGAGTTGCAAAGAAAACAAAAAATATCCACCATCCGCTGGCTCACTCCCCAAATGGCAGCCATAGCTAGGGCTGAGCCATGCTGGAACCAGGAGCCAGGAGCTTCCTCTAGGTCTGCGTGGGCAGCTGGCCCCCCGGGGTCTTCAGGAGTGCTCTTCCCTTGCAGGAGCTGCACTCAACAGTGGAGCAGGGACGCCCACATCAAGCTGCAGCTCTGCCTACTACCCCACAGTGCCAGCTACTGGCGGGTTTTCATGAGCCACTCAGATCATTGAGATCACCTGGGACTGGTGTGCCTGAGCCTCGGCCTGTGTCCCCGGATCTCATCCCCGCTGCTACACTTCCAGTCCACTTCCCTGCTGTGATCTGGCAAGGCAGCAGAAGCCTTGGGCCCCTGTGCCTTGTGGGAAACCCATAAGAAGCTCCTGGCTTCACGTGGCCACGTCACTTTGGGAGTGAGCCAGCACGTGGAAGATCTGTCTCCCTCTGTCTTGACTCATTCAAGCAGGCAAATAAGCCATGTCCAAGTTGCATGCACCCAGTAACATCCGAACACAGTAAGGAAAAGCCAGCGTTACTAAAAGGGAAAGAAAGCCAATCTGGTTACACTGGGGGGGAGGGTTGTTTCCGTTTTGTTTTTGTAAGAAAAGTTGTTACAGACAGAGGTCTTCCATCCACTGGTTCACTGCCCAAATGACCACAACTGCTGGGGCTGCACCTGCAGCTCCATCAGGCTCTACCATATAAAGGCTTGGAGCCAAAGCACGGGCCACACCTTCCACTGTCTTCCCTGGTGCGTTGGCAGGAAGCTGAAGAGCCTCCTCGAACCCATGCTTCAATAAGGGCTGCCAGCCACACGGGTGGCAGCTTAAGCCACTACACCACAACACTACCCTTGAAACACAGTTCACTGTGCTGGCTTGCTACGGTTATGATAACATTGCCACAGGCTGGGCAGTTCCAACAAAAGGAGTCCATGGTCTCCGTTTAGGAGGCTACAGGTCTGAGAAGGGGTCCGCGGTGTTGGTTCCTCTGGAAACAGCAGGGGAAGTGTTTCCCGTGCTGCCCCTGGGTTTGCTGGAATCCTCGCAGTGGCTCGGTGTCTTCATCTTCACCCAGTGTGCCACTGTCTTCACAGGGCATTCTTCCTGTGGGTGTGTGCATTCAAGGCTTTTGTAAGGATGCCAGTCAGTCAGGGCCCCTTAGGATCCCCTCTTAACTCGTTACCAGCAGTAACTGCTTCCTAAGGAGTCCACACAGTCGAAGACGAACTCAGGGCAGAGCAGGGGCCCGTGTGGCCTGACTCGGCAACAGGTGGAATTCGGAAATCAAAACCCTGCCAGTCTGAGAGATTGGCGTGTTCATTCAGCAGACCTTGCCAAGTGGACACCCTGTGAGCACGCGCTCAAGGACAGCCGAGCACAGCACCAGTACGTGGAGCGTTAGCTCAGGTAGGTTACACACGAGGGCATGGAACAGGTCCCCGAGACGCCGACGGAGCGGAGTCACAGACAGCATAGGTCACAGTGAACCGAACGAGAACCCAGTAACGAAGGCAGGTGTCAGAATTAACAGCATCGTTTTTCTGATTAAACACGCACACACGTTAGCTTATGGAAAACTTCAGACATAAGCAATACTAGGCAGAAAAGCAAGAGACTCCTACCTGTCAACATGGGGCTTGACAAGGACAAAGCTGGACAGCTGGGAGCAGGCCGCTCCCCCAGCCCACACACAGGAGGGAAGACCACGCCGACGTCACCCGATCCCCACGGTGCGGCCCTCCCCGCCCTGGCTGGAGCCTCTCCGTTAGGTGATCAGTATGAAAAGTGGAGAAGGGCAGATGTTAACTTACAGGAGAGGGGTGTCGGCTCACGTGCTTTTTGACCAGTAGAAATATAAATGCACTCTGTTCAATGCAGGTAGGAAGATCTTTGTCCAATGCTCGTGTTTGTTTCATCTTTTTTCTTTCTTTAGTGCTTTTGGGTTTTTTTTAACTGATACTACATCTTTGACACATGCTGAATAAAAAGTAAAAAAGGACATACCCTTAGCCCTTCACACCTCAGGGCTCCCTCACATTCTTCCTCCTACGTTAAAAGCAAATGCTTAACATTATCTAATTTTAAAAATTATTCATTTGGTGGCCCAGTGTGGTAGCCTAGCAGCTAAAGTCCTCACCTTGCATGCACCAAGATCCAATATGGGCGCAGGTTCTAATCCCAGCGGCCCTGCTTCCTATCCAGCTCCCTGCTTATGGCCTGGGAAAGCAGTCGAAGACGGCTCAAAGCCTTGGGACTCTGCACCCGCGTAGGGGGCCTGGGGGAGGTTCCTGGCTCCTGGCTTTGGATCAGCTCAGCTCCAGCTGTTGCAGCTGCTTGGCGAGTGAATCAGTAGACAAAAGATCCTCCTCTGTTACTCCTCCTCTCTATATATCTGACATTCCAATAAAAATAAAATCTTAAGGTATTCATTTATTTGAGATGCAGAGAAACATGACAGGAAGAGAGCTCGCATTCTGCTGATTGCTTCTGAATACCCACAACACTCAGGACCGGGTTGCAGATCAAGCCCGGAGCCGGGAGTGCAATCTCGTCCCTACACTAAGCAGGGACAGCTGCTCAACCACCACTGCCTAGACAGGGCCTGCCTTGCAGGAAGCCGGGCTCAGAAGCACAGGTTCTAACATGGGATGTAGCTGTGTTAACCATTGAACTAAACACCTACTTCATCATCTAATTTTATCTGAAGCGAAATATTTACATATTGTATGGATTCAAAGAAAAATCCTGTAAAAATTAGAAACAAGGTGTGGACATTGGACATAGTGTCCACGCCACCGTTTGGCATCCCGTGTTTGGCATCCCCTATTGGAGCACCTGCTTTGCGGTCCCTCCCACCCACCTGGAAATCCCGTCTCCAGGCTCCAACCTAGTATAGCCTTGGCTCCAGAAGGTTGAAGCAGTTTCAAGAATTAAAGCAGTGGTGGGATATCTTTCTTTGTCTCAGTAAGTAAAATAAGTAAAAAGAAAATGAGAAACTATTTTAATTGAGTAATAACAAAACTAGATCACAGTTAGTAGGTCTTCTGACTGCTGCCAAGATGAGTGAGTGTCCCTTTACTGAGCCTCCGTGTTACAGTTAAAAACCCTGGGCACGGCACAGCACGGGGAACCCGAAAGAGCAGAGCGCTAGCCAGGGGCCCACTGCCCTGAGTGATGACACGGCTGCCAGTTCTCTGGATGCAGCCCGGGCCCACCAACAGGCGCACCTGTGTCCTGCGCACAGAGGGCCAGAAGAGGAATAGGAGCAGTCGCAGTCATGGAAATAGTCACCGCTCTCCCTTCAAACCCAAGAGGGCAATCCACCCGCCCTCCGCTCTAGGCAGGGCCAAGTGGAGAGCCAGCCGTTCAGACCCAGCACCAGCAAGGTGGACTGAGCTGGCCAGTTATCCCACCCAGAGGCTTGTGTTAGTAGATCCTGTACAGGAGATGAACGGAGACACCCATGACGGGAGAGGCGGGAGGAGGCAGTGCAAGGTGGTACAGCTTGACCCTCCCGCTTCCACAGTCCGGCGGTGTCGGCTGCAGCCAGGAGGCTGCAGTGCGAGCTGAGCCCTCACCTGTCAACAGTGGAGCCACGCCAGAACTCTCCTCACCCCTTCCTGCCGCATCATTCCCCTCTGCCTGTACCACCAGGACCTAGCAGAAACCTCAATCTACACCTGCGCCTCAACAGGGCAGCTGCCTAAAACTAAGCACTATAGAGCCTGAGGTTTCCAAGACACCATTGGAAATCACTTGCCATACCGCGCTGCAGGACAGTGTCCACTGTCATGAGGCATTTTTTTTTTTCTTAAGTCTTGATTCAGTTCACCAAAAGCTCATCTCAGGTGGAGTTCACTACCCATCCTCCGTTTCCTTTCCCAGCCCTTTCACCCCTCAAAATACAACTGCAGCCCCCCGGGGGGGGGGGAGACTGCCTCAGGGGTCTTCCAGCTTGGCCTTCTCACTGCTTATCTCTATTAACTATTTTTATTTTTGATGATTTTTACATAGTTGATGAGGGTGCTAAGGGTCAAGGGCTATAGGAAGGTGGGCGAGACCACCGTTTCCACATTCTCCCTTTGTCCTTCCTGTATCTGGGGGGAAGGGGATTATGAGGCATTTTTAAGGTAAATAAAGTTATGCCATTCTACACCTTTATTAAGCCCTGGATATGCTACCCATCACAGAAAACCCTCCTGCAAAACATTTTTTTAAAGCATTTATTTATCTGCGATGCAGAGTTAGAGATCTTGCATCCCTTAATTCAGCCCCCAGATGGCACAATGTCCAGCACTGGTCCAGGTCAAAGGCAGGAACTGCATTCAGGACTCCCACCTGGGTGCCAGGCGCACAGGGTCTAGGGTCATCTGCTGCTGCTTCCCCAAAGTACATCAGCGGGAAGCAGGATGGGAGGTTGGAGCCGCCAGGACCGGAAGCTGCTCCAGTGGGACGTGGTGTCACAGACGGCGGCTTGCCATGCACACCAGAGCCACAGAAGTTTGCTGCCCAGTTGTCATGTCTTCTGTATTTGAAGTGCTTGAAGCGCTGAACATGGAGAAAATGATGTCAGCTGTTTCCTGTTGGATGGAAAGTCAGCAGTCGGCAGACACAAATGGAGACATTCGCATTCTGATCATTGAAGGTTTCCTACTCTTCAATTACAGGTAAGTATCTCCCTGTACTACCGACCCAGAATGAACTGGCCAAGACCTCGTGAACTCAATGTGTCCTTGTTGTAGGCCCTTGGATACTATATGGAACCGAAGCTATTTTCTGACCATTCCATACGAAGAATGCAAGAGGAGGAGGAGGTGCGTTTTGAAGTCATCTTTGTGGATTATAATACAAAAGATAAAATTAGGAAAAACAAGGAGTAGACACTATTGAGCAGGGCATATTGGTCTTTTTCTTTTTATAAGATTTATTTAATTTTATTGGGAAGACAAATTTGCAGAGAGGAGAAAAAAAAGAGATCTTTTCATGTGCTGGTTTAATCCCCAAATGACCGCAGCTGCACTGATCTGAAGCTGGGAGCCAGGAGCCCCCGCAGGTCTCCCATGCAGGTGCAGGGTCCCAAAGATTTAGACCATCCTCCACTGTTTTCCCAAGCCACAAGCAGGGAGTGTGCTTGTGTGGCTGGGAAGTGGAGCAGCCGGGAAATGAACCAGCGCCCACATGGGATGCCAGCACTTGGCAGGGGGAGGATTGGCCGATTTAGCCATCATACCAGCCCCACATGTTGGTCATCTGTTTTCTGACAAAAGATTCCTCAACTCCGTTACACATGGAGCAAGGTGTTTTTCTACAAATGTCCTTTCTAATGGAGAAATGCAAACTATTTTTCTAAGAAAAGGGCCATATATCCTACTATTTTGACCTGTTTTTCCTAAGCCTTGAAATAAAGAGATCCCATTGGTTATTATTAATTAACCTTATGGTTGATTATGGTTTTGTTAGTGGCTTCTATTGTACACTGTTTCATAAACAACAACAATCAGTTTAAAAGCTTAAATTGACGTGTCAGTATCTCCATCCTTTATGTTAGTGTTTGTTTCTTAGTCTCTTATAAAACACTGGAGGAAAGAAAACATTATGAATGATGGAGAATTAGCTTTTAGATCTCAGAACTAATTCTATTTGCTTGTCTAACTGCCACTGAGTCTAAAACATGTAATTAAGTCTGTTTAATCTCTGAGCGATTTTCTCATTATCCTTACTTTATCAATTGTATGTTTCTACTGGCATAAAACCGGCTGCATGTTTTGACAGCACGAGGGTCTATGAGCCTCCCGACCCCCCAGGGTACTTTGATGGCCACGTGTGGCCCATGTACCTCAAGCACAGACAAGAGCTGAAGACCATCCCATGGGAAGTCGGTAAGTGCTTCTGTTCCCACAGGTGGCCTCCACGCACAGCAAAAAAGGCCTGGGGAGGCACTTTTGTCATGTACAAGATTGTAAAGGATGTCTGGAGCAGCAGCGGATGGGGTGTTACCATCGCCAGCTTCACCAGCCAGGACACCATGCTCCTGGCCGATGCTCCTGGGGTCTGGGGCATACAGGTTTATGGGGTATGATACGATAATAACCCATGTATAGTGTGGAATAATCAAATCGGGGTAACTAGTGTTTCCACATTTTGATTTTATGTCTGTGTGTGGAAACTGATTTTCTCTCTTTGGTTCTTCATAAAATGCAGAGTGGATTCTACCTTTTTTATTTGGAATAAGTCAGGGGGAACAGCCTCCCATGTGTGGACGCATACGCCAGATGCCCGCCATGGCTAGGACTGAGCCAGGCAGAAGCTGACAATTCAGTCTGTGTCTACGACCTGGGTACCAGGAACCTGGCACTTCAGTGTGGAGCGTGGGCATCTCAAATGGCATTTTAACGACCAAGCCAACTGCTTGGAGGCTGAGTTCAGTCCTTGAGGTAGCCATCTCATAGAGATTTTAAACTAAGTACATGAACGTTCTGCAGAGTCCTTCTGGGGCTGTCAGGAGATGCTTTCTGGGGCAGGTGCTTCTCCGCTCCACCTAACGCGCCAGAAGCACAAGGCTAGTGAGGACTCCTCATTTTCCCCTTTCCTTCCTCTCTGGTTTAAATTTCTCTGACACAAACCCGAATTTTTAACCTGCCTGAGCTCTGTTATCTTCGGTTAAAGCTATTGGTGTTTGTAAGCACCGTTTCCTGGTAAAGCTGTTAGCTCTGAGCTGCCGTCTCCCCCCTTGCTCAGTTTACCTAGATGGGATGAAATCGGAAGAAGACCTGTTTGCACAAGTACATGAAGATCTGATGCAGCAACTAGCAAAACGGAAGCGTAAGTACTGTCCTACCAGGTAATAAAGAGAGAACAATGGGAAAATGGTTGAGGACAGTCCCAGAGGAGCCTGCTGGAATGCCAGTGGGGGGATTGTGTAACTGAGGGTGCCTCCGAGCCGGAGATTCTGTAGCACCTTTCCTCACTTGCTTGGTTTAACATCTCTATGAGATGGCTATCCCAAGGCCTGAACTCAGCCTTTGGACAGCATGCAAATAAAATGATTTTATTCCAATATGTTTGCCATCACCTTTTCCCCTTTATTTCTTTAGATTTTTCTTAAAAATCCTGCTTTCCACCTAATGGCTAAAGTCCTCGCCTTGCACACGCTGGGATCCCATATGGGCACTGGTTCTAATCCCGTAGCCCCGCTACCCATCCTGCTTGTGGCCCGGAAAACAGTCAAGGACGGCCCAAAGCCTTGGGGCTCTGCACCCGCGTGGGAGACCCGGAAGCTCCGAAATCCTGCTCCAGATTTGCTCAGCTCCAGCCGTTGCGGTCACTTTCTTCCAAGTGAATCATCGGACGGAAGTTCTTCCTCTCTGTCTCTCCTCCTCCATGTATATCTGACTTTCCAATAAAAATAAATCTTTAAAAAAAATCCTGTTTTCCAAATGCATCAAAATAAAACGGGAGCCCAGCACTTGCAAGGGGAGGATTAACTAGTTGAGCCATTGCACTGGGCCTGAATATTTTTTAAGGTTCTCATGTTAGACAATATTTTCCTAAGTGACAGAAATACACAAAAAGAAAGTGCAGCATCAGTGGCTTTGGCCTCTGCTGAGTCAGGGGCCCAAGGGTACTCCCCAGGGGCCTGCTGCTCCCCAGGGGCCTGCTGCTCCCAGGGGCCTGCTACACCCCAGGGGCCTGCTACACCCCAGGGGCTGCTGCGCCCCAGGGGCCTGCTACACCCCAGGGGCTGCTGCTCCCCAGAGGCCTGTTACGATCCACTTTCTGTTTGAGCCTGCTTTGCAGTCATGCTTTATAAACAGATGTGCCACACGGTGGCGCTGTCCCTTCCTAGATTCAACAGCCCAGCTGGAACTTTTTCATGATTGCCCCTGAGTTAATAAATAATGGAACGAGCTTCGGGTTCAAGGAGACTCAATTGCTATTCTTGTTGATTTTACCTACTTTTAAAATTCTGTGTCTTAAACTTTTTAAAGTAACTTTCCATTTTAGCTAAGATGAAAAGTCTCAGGGAAGATTTTGACGGACCCTGCCCAGGTCACGTGACTTGCTAAATCCACGTTGACCAGGAGATGGCTCAGGATTCGTGCCTTGTAATTACATTTGTTACAGCTAAGACTTCCTTAGTTCCAAATGTTTGGAAAGGAAAAGACAGCGGGTGGTAGAAATCAGAAGAAAGATGAAAGAGTCCAACGAGATCTATCTGCTATGGTATTTAAGTTACCTAAGCTGAAAGGGTTTCTGTGCTAATGCAGGCAGCACGCTGTCACTCCCGCAGAGAACATCACGCGTGTTCTGTGGAGAAGCATCTGCCCGCGTCCAACCGCATGAGGTTTCCTCTGTCCTCTGTAAGTTCCACTTTGACTGGGACACTGAACCCAACCATGTAACTCGTAATTCCAGATTCCTCCTGTCCCACGGGCATGAACCCATCTGAGGACATGCTCACACTTACTTCTCCTTGTAAGTGGAATTTATAATCCCTGCCTGCTCCGCCCACCCACCTCTACCATCTGTTACTTTGATGGCGAGCCGCCTCCCCCAGGGACACTGTGGGTATTCACAGGTGCTGACACGAGTGGATATTCAGTGTAGGGTGCAGGGGAGGGTGCAGCCTTCACGCAGAGCACCGGGACAGGGCTGCTTCTCCGGGAGTTCATGGCATCCTTTCCCTGGCTCTAATAAGATGTGTCAGGGACACCGCCCTACCTCCCTATTCTCCCAAGAGTGCCCAGTGCTCCAATCTGATTCTTTTCTACCAATTACATCACACTTTGGACTTTGGCCTCATAACATGCCTGCTGAGAAAAATAAAAGGAGCCGCGGCCATGTGGTTCAGGTAAATTGTACCCCATTCCATTCCACATCCAGCCTTTGTCATCTGCCCGAGGCCTAAGAGCAGCTGGCATGTTGTCACAGTTGCTGCAATCCCACCAGAAAGTGTGTCTCCATGTGAGTGGCACCTGTTTCCTGGTATGCGCCCCAGGAACAGGCAAGGAAGTATTCAGTTATGCCATTGAAGATTCTTTATGTTGAAGATACTGCATGAGGCTTAAAAAAGAAGAAAATAGCAGAAACAGTACAGGAGACATGAAATCAAGCTCATCAATTTTCCTACCTTCCAAGGTTTATGACAGTTTTTTCCAGCTGCCTAAATGCTACTGTGCTATGTATAGCAACCCCTCACCTTTCCAGATTCTTCCTCAGTAAGCCAGCACGACGGGCACACAGCCCGTCCGCTGTGTTACCCTCCGCTGGCCGAGGAGACGTTATCAAGTGTCTAAGTGACCACCCTGTCGGTTTCTTCTCATAACCGTTTTGCAAACCTGTTAGCTCCATTTCCCTGTAAAGATCATAATTATGATGCAGCGACAGTAATGGATGAGAAATTTTTAAAAATGGAATTACTGATAATAAGTAAATAAGAAAGCAAGGATATAAAATCATACACTTAAGTCATCCTTGATTTAATCCAAAGTTTGATGCAAATCTGATCATCACCTATCGTCACTGTAACAAAGGAGTCTGGTTACCAGGATGTTCAAATTTTATTTTTTAAATGTTAATTTTTATCATTACGTGAGGCATATTTTTAAGATATGAAAGCAGAAAAGAAGAAGTCATCCCTGTGTTCCTAGCACTTAGCCAAGCTGAGAAGCTCTCATGAGTGTCTCCAGCCTCTGGTTGTTCACACGTCTGCATTTTAGGAGACTTATGGAGACGGTGGTGAACCAGCCACGCTCATTTCTAAGTGAATTCTTAATAATCAGACAACTTTACTGAGTTTATTTTATAATGAAATTGACTGAGTATCACTGCCATTTCAAAGAGTCAGAGCTAGATTCTGTTTTGTACACTAAAGTGAAATCTGACACTTGACATTGACATTTTAATTCACAAGTCTGGTTCCAATTCAAAAGAAGAAGAAATTACAGCATAGAAATTTATAGAATTTATAGAAATTTAATTATCAGATGTTTGCATTCTTGTGTTTTTCTACACTTGATCTAAATCATAATTTGTAGTTAGAAAATAATAGTATAATTATCTAAGGTAATAGTTCAAATCGACATGGTTTCACTTACTGGATATGTAATGTTCTTATAAGTGTTTCACAGGCTGTAAAAATATCTGCACGTGCTTTTAGCTTTCTATTTAATTATATTCCTAAAAATAATTCAGACTTTGCTCTTAGTTGGTCAAAGGCTATAATCATTTTTTTTCTTACATATTTCAGAAAACCAAAGACCAGATTAAAATGTGTTTTTTCCAGTATGAGCTGTATAATAATATTTCCTATTTTTCATGGAATTTCTAAGCCTAATGACATATTCAGTTATATTTCATTCATTTAAAACAAGACATTAAAGCTAGCACTCCACAAGCATTGCACGGCAGCCAGCCACCATGGGGCTGCGTCTTCATGCCCTGAAGTCCAGGACCGGTATTCCCATGGTAAACGGTGCTGGATGCCTAACAAAGATTTTCTTAACATGTCATGCATGGACTAAAAGAAGGGGTCTTGGACTTGATTTAATTATTCATGAGAGAGCAGCATTTTTTACCTGAGAACCCCGTACACTGAACATCCTTAGTTTTCTTGTTGATGTGGAGATTTGCTAAAATGAGGACTGGGATTCTCCATTAATTTCTTCTTGTATCCATTTGCTAGGTTTGCAAGTAACAGCATGAGGACGCAAAGCAGTGCACGCCTTCTGAAGCGAATGAGGGTGTTCAGGAATGTTGGCCAAGACTACCACAGACTGTGGTGCAGTGACAGCCACAGCCGGGTTTTTTGTTTTTCTTTACACATGATTTTTTTTCAACAGGTGGGACAGAAAGCAGCCATCCCAGTGGACAGGAATGCCCCCAGTGGGAGGAGTGCATTGCTACGACACAGCTCACCAAAGAGGGGCCGGCTGCTCTAGAACAATGATGGCAAGGCTTCCCTGGCTGGAACCCAGAGTAAACGTGAGGACGACGTCATAATCCAATCTGCATATGCTCTAGTCTGTGTCGGTGTGTGTGTGTGATTCATGTCCTTGGGATGACACCACCAAAAGAAGCATCTTTTAGCAAGCAACCCAGAAGAACTAGAAAAGCAATCCAGTTCACAGCAGCCTTGTTCTTTATAATCTCTCTAGCCTTGCTTTATCAAGCTTGGGTTGCAATTTGTATTGCCAATATTTTGGCTGGGGTCTGTCTGATGGAATAATGGGTTAAGCTGCCCCCCGCAGTGCCAGCATCCCCTAAGGTGTACTGGTTCCAGTCCTGGCTGCTCCACTCCTGACCCAGCTCCTTGCCCATGCAGCTGGGAAAGCAGCAGAAGACAGACCAAGTGCCGAGCCCAGCCACACATGTGACAGACCTGGCTCCTGGCTTCAGCCGACCCACTCCTACCCACTGTGGCCATTTGGGGAGTGCATCTGGGAATGGAAGATCTCACTGTCTCTCTCTGTCTCCCTTTCAAATGAATAAAGTATTTTTCTAAATACACTAGCAATATTTTAATTTTAATTTTTAATTTTACTCACATTTTTGTTTCTTTAGGATAAAATTGTAACATAGGGCTGGAGTTGATACAATTGATTATGCTGTTGCTTCAGAAGCACACATGCCAGCTTCGAGTGCTCCCAGCTGCCTAGCCTGCGATCCAGCTCCCAGCTAATGTGCACCCTGGGAGGCAGCAGAAAGAGCCCGAACTGGGCCCGGACACTCATAAGAGAGACATGATGGAGTCCTAGGATCCTTATCCTTCGGCTGGCTCAATCTGGGCCATGGCGGCCATTTGGGAAGTGAGTCCATGGATGGAAGATCTCTCTGTGTCTCTCTCTGAGTGGGTCTTGCTGCCTTTCAATAAACCTTTATATAATAATTATTATTCCAACTTGCTCAGCCTTTCTGGCATGCTCTCTTCTTCCCTCGCCTTCTTGCTGATCTAGCCATTGCACTTGCCATTTCTCCAGTTTCAGCATGTGAAAATAGGTCAGAGCATCTTGTTA